TTCTGAACATTTACTCTTTCTATTATTTTAATTGACCATCTCAGATTTAAAAAAAAAATATTTCCTTTTACCTTCCATTTTGGACTTTTGGGCAAAATTAGAAAAAAAATATATGTTTTAAATCTTAAAAAAAAAAAAAAAAAAAACAATCCTAATTGCACGGAGTGTTTAACAGGTTAGGCTTGAGTTCGACCTTAACTTAATCTGATTTGAACACAGGGGAGGGGTTCCAGCCTCAACCTATTTAATTAATGGGTCATAAAGGTGCGTCCGAACTTGATCCCCACAACTCGGATGTTTGAATCTAACCTGATAACATGCTCTAAGTTAAACGATAAATTGTAACTTGGTAACTATAAAGTTTAGGTTAATTGATCATATCAATAAATAAATAGATCATAATCAATTCAAAATCGGGTTTAAGCTTACTAATTAAATTACTAGTTGAAATTCCAGATCCGAAGCTAACCTGCTTATTAAATGAGTTAACTAAGAACCATTTTTCAAGTCAGGTCTCTATCAAATTGTTGAATTAGATTATTTTTTAACACCCATATTAGTCCCCCCTTAAAGGGGCGATGATTTTTCAAACATTATTTAAAGTCTTTACTAATTTAAAATTGAAATTGTACTTAGTCATCATTCACGCAAGGGTGAAACCAAGAAGAACTCAGGGTGATCAATTGCTCCACCCCGAGCTCTTTTTTTTTTTTTGTCCTTAGAAGAATTTGCATTTTAATTATTTATCCACCTTCAATAAATATTGACACGACCCAAAACTCGACTCAGACCCGACTTGGAAAAATTCGAGTTTGGGTCAACCCGCTTGTGAAACGGGTTGGGTCCGAGTTTGGATTTCCAATCTGTTTGAAAACAGGTCGTGCTTGGGTTGACCTAGAAATCCGCGAGTAGACCCGAATTGACCCATTTGTCACGTTTCTCAGGGTCCCATCATAGATGTCGCTCAGGGTTGTGTCACATAACTTGTCTCTTAACTCAGTCGCGTCGTACCTGTCGCTCAGGGTCGCGTTGTAGCCGTCGCTCATGGCCGTCACCGTTGTTGGCCTGCATCCTACGGCTCCTGCCTGTGCTGCTATCCCAGTTGAAGCCAGCTAATGAGCGAAGTTCGAAGAGCTGAAGAGTGAAGCTATCGTCCCACCCACTAGCTGTCGCTGTCGCCTGAGATGCCGCTGTCGGCCTACCTAAGAGCCGAAGACTATCGTCATCCCTCCCTCGCGAGATGACAATTCTGACCTTGTTTGCAAAATTAGGTCAGGCTAGTGTCGACCCATTTAAGGTTGGATCGAGTTCAATCCGAATTCGACCCATTGATCCAAATTGAAACCCCTAGTTTTTCTCATCCTCAAAATATAGATTTGTTTGATCCTTTCACTCCCAAAACAGAGATTGATTTCATCCTTTTCGGAGTGGACATCTCCATCAATCGTGAAAAGGCTAGTTTTTTTTTTTTTTTTTTCTTTTTTAAAAAATAAGGAAAGGATTGGTCAACTAAATAATGATAATTGGTGGAAATGTGATTAGAATGATTGGACGATTGGTTAGCAAAAAATACTGACAAACAATCGAGACGTATGGCGTAGAAAGGGGCAATTTTGATCAAGTAGAAGGTGAGAAAATTTGATTAAGTAAGAACATCTAGAAAGAGAAAATTTTGACTAATTGCTGCCTGACAAGTGACAAATATTATTTATTGATTCCCTATTTGTGACTGATAAATACTGTTTATGATTGATTCATTAGGAGGAGGGAAATCCAATTAATCGATGTGGGACATGTTGCATCATGGATTATTCGCGGCGGTACAGAAATATAAAGTTTAAGGCCTTAGCTTTGTATGAAGATCCATCACACATGCAGATTAACGAGAGGGTGTAGCGTTTATGAGAGACACAAGAGTTTTTATGTAAAAACTTCTCAAAAGAGAGAAAAACCACGGGGCCTGGCCCAGTTTGAATGAATCCAATATTATTTTCAGTCGATTACAAATGAGACCCTTCCTTGGGTGGAAGGCCTTGGGTTGATGTAGCAAATATTCATCATATTAAATGGTGAGAATTTGAAGAATTAGTATTGAAATGTTTGCTTAGTTGGCAGAACCATAGTCGACGGGCGATGGAGGTCAGAAATACCGTAGTCTGGTGACGGTGGTGACAAGGACCGTTGTCTAGTGAGAGAGGTCAAAAGGACCATAGTTGACGGGAGACAGTGGTCAGAAAGATCGTTGTCTGGCGAGGAAGGTCAGAAGGATCGTAGTCAGTGGGAGATAGTGGTCAGAAAGACTGTTGTCTGGCGGAGGAGGTCGGAAGGACCGTAGTAGGCGACAGAGGTTGGAAGGACTGTAGTCGGTAGTCTATAAGGGTAAGAAAGACCGTTGTCTCACGATGGATGTCGGATGGACCGTAGTAGGCGACAGAGGTCGGAAGGATCATAGTCGGCGGGAAACAAGATTTAGAAATATCGTTGTTTGACGATGGAGGTCGAAAAGACCATAGTTCGCAAGAAAAAAGGATCAGAAAAACCGTTTTCTGGTGATGGAGGTCGAAAGGACCGTAGTAAGTGACGGAGGTCGGAAGGACTGTAGTCGGCATGAGATAGGGGTCAGAAAAATCATTGTCTAACGATGGAGGACAGAAGGACTTTAGTATGCGATAGAGGTTGGAAGGATCGTAGTTGGTAGGAGATAGGGGTTAGAAAGACTGTTGTCTGGCGATGGATGTTGGAAGGATTATAATAAGTGACAGAGGTTAAAATGATCATAATAGGCAGGAGATAGGGGTCATAAAGATCGTTGCTGACCATGGAGGTCGAAAGGACCGTAGTAGATGACGGAGGTCAGAAGACCTGTAATCGGTAAGAGCTAGAGGTCAGAAAGACCATTGTCTTACAATGAAGGTCAGAAGGACCATTATAGCGATGGAGGTCGGAAAAACTATAGTTATAATATCAGATCTGCTCCAGGATCTTCCGGGCCGATCGTGGATCGTCCCGGGACGATCAGTTCAATTTTGTTCCAGATTCTATACAGAAGTTACAGGAAAGATTTCCTGTAGGGATCGTCCGGGTCGATCTGGGATCGTCCCGGGACGATCAGAGCATGGCACAAGTCAGAGAGCAAATCGTCGAGGAAATTAATTATCGTCCGGAAAAATCGTCCCAGTCCGATTGGATTTTTGTTCAGATCGTCCAGGACGATCGTGCGATCGGCCGGGCCGATCAGAGTATTATTTAGCTGAAATAAGCTCATTTTGAGAGCGAGAGAATCAAATTTTATAAAAAATATCTTTTGAGGAGAGAGAAGGTCAAGGGCTAAAGTGGAAAAGTGAATTTTTGGGCAACGCCGGGCCATTTTCTTCCGTCGAGACAATTCAAGAAAGTGGTGTACGCAAGGTAAGACACATTCCACCTTTCTCAATTTTCAGAACGGTGAAGTTTGAATGATTTTTCTGTCCGAATTTCATTTTTGTTAGCGAATTTTGTCCGTATTTTCCGACTGGTTCAGTTTTTACCGCGTAACTTTTGGTATGTTATTGAAGTGCCGAGTGTGCACGTTTTGATTATTTTCTGGAGATTTTTGACAGGATAGTTTTGATTTGGCGGCGTTTTCTGTTGACTGTAAATTTTTATGATGTCTGAAAATGTTGTGGCAGTAGAATAAAAGTCTTACATTGTAGTTGCGAATATTCTGTGGTAATTTGGTAAAATTCTGATTCTGTCAATTTTGTGTAAATTCCGTATACTGCCGTTATGCCGCCGGATTTTCGTATGATTTCTGAATTTGTCCGGATTTATTCTGAAATGATATGATATGATTGTGTACTATGAAAATGGAGTTATAAGGGGTCGGGATCCTGTGAGATCCTGTCTGTGTCAGGGAAAATCTGAAATGAGCTCTGAAATCTGTTTCTAAAAACAAGTTCCGGATCCGATGATAAGTTCTGTCCTGGTGCTATAAGCACATCTGTTCTGGTGCCATGAGCACAAAGGGAGGCATAAGGGGCCAGAATCCGAGAGATTCTGTCAATATCTGGGAAGGGAGGCATAAGGGGCCAGAATCCGTTGAGATTATGTCAAAGTCAGGGAATTTGTTTTGACTTTTGATATGCTCTAAATCGATATGATTTATGATTTCTGTACGATATAATTTGATCTGATCTGTATGATTATGATTCTGATACGATTCTGACACGATTCTGTTCTGTTCTGATATGATTTGATTCTGATTTCCGTACGATTCTATCTGTTCTGATTTGATATATGATTCAATTTTGATTTAATATTTAATATGTTCTGTTCTGTCTGTTCTGTTCTTATTTGATTCGTTCTGTTCTGCTATGTCAGTTCTGTATTCTGATTTTGTACGGATTTCTGTCCGATGTGTTTGATGTGGACTCTGAGGATTTGGATTGGAGGTTTGATGTCTTGCTGATCTGTTGTAGCTCATCCTTATTTTCTACGTGGTTTTCAGGTTCTGGGAAAGGGAAGGAAGTCTTAGACTAGGAGTTTATAGTCTAATCTGTTATATGTATTTTATACTTTTGATTTTTTTGTACAGTCATGGCTTTTCTGCTCTTTTTTCCTTTCTGTCTGAAAGCCATGAGCTGTATTTGTATATGAACAAGATAGATGATTGGTTCCGCTGTATTTTGATGTTTAGTAGCTCTGTGTGTCTGTTTCTGTGTGTAATATTTGGAAGAAAGTTCTGAACCAAATTCCAAAGCCAGATCCTGGAATCAGTTCAGTCAATTTGAGTTTGGCCACGACCTGATGCGAGCGGGATCCGTCCCGGTCGGGTTGGGTCGTGACAAGCTTTTGGTGGTATCAGAGCAATAGTTTTGGAATTTAGATTGTAGGATTGTAAGACAGAGCTATAGGAAGTGATCTGAGTCTGTCTTGGGTAGTTTTGGTTTGTCCGGATTTTTATTGTGTCATTTTTGTGATTAGTTTTCTGGATTTTCTGTATGGATCTGCCAAATCCCGAGATGACAGATGGTCAAAGTGCCAGTCAGGCAGCACCAGTGGGTAGTACAGCCCCAGTGGTTGGTGCAAATACACTTTCCCAGTTTGCTACATTGGTTGCTCAGATGATGAGCGAGACTCACAGTAGAGCCTCTACTGTTTGATCTGAGGATATTGATAGACATCTTCATATGTTTTTGAGATTGAAACCACCAAGGTTTGAGGGTGCTGTTGAGCCCAGAGCAGCTGAGGAGGTTAGAGAAGACTTTTGACGGCATGCAGTGTCCGTCAGATAGGAAAGTACATTTGGCAGTTTTTCTGTTGGATGGGGAAGCAAAGCACTGGTGGGTAGGCCAGCAGGAAGCAAAGTTTCAGGGTAGATTGAACTCCCTGATTTCTTGGGAAGAATTTTCTGAGGTATTCCGAGCTTGGTTTGTTCCCCCATCTGCCGTGCAGCAGATGCAGGAGAGTTTTCTAGGGCTAGTTCAAGGGAGCAAGACGGTGATGCAGTACGAGGTAGAGTTTACTTCCTTAGCCCGATATGCTCCGCAGCTGGTGAGTACTTCTTCTGAGAAGTGCTATCGATTTCTGAGGGGACTACGAGACAGTCTGAGGCAGCCCCTGGTGCCATTTCATATTTCTGATTTTTCTAAGCTTGTGGAGAGAGCTCGTCTGATAGAGAACGATCTGATGGCTACTCAGCAGCAGTGGACTGCGAGTAGGAAGAGGTTTGGGGGTGATTCGAGCAGTAGTTCATCTGGCAAGAGGAGATTTGTTTATAGTTCTGGAGACTTCAAGAGGAGTGGACAGTCTAGTACGACCAGTACGACCAACTCTGGATCTGTTAGTGGGGCACCTGTATGCCAGAGTTGTGGACGATGACATTTTGGCCAGTGCTACAGGATGACCGGTCAGTGCTTCAGATGTGGTCAGCCAGGATATCGAATTGCAGAGTGTCCACAAGCTGGATTTGATCGACTATCTGAGTTTCGATCCGAGAGCTTTGTTAGACCTGCCGGTTCAGCAGGAAGACCGAGGACTTCCTCCACATCCTAAGGGATCTGGTAGAGGTGGTGGTTTGAGTTCTGTGCCACGGAGACCACCTACTGCTAGTCAGAGGGAGCCTAGTTCTGTAGCTTCAGCTCCAGCTCCAGTTCAGCCACGAGTGTACAGTCTGAGTCAGCAGGAGGCTCGAGATGCTCCGGATGTGGTGATAGGTACAATTTATATTTCTGATCAGCCCTGTCGTGTTTTGTTTGATTCTGGAGCCAGTCATTCTTTTCTTTCCGAGCATTATTTTGATGCTTTGCATCTAGATTCGATTTTACTGCCGATTTCTCTTTCTGTGATTTTGCCAGCTGGAAGTAATTTGATTGCTCGAAAGTTTTGTTTTTGTGGGATTGAGATTGCTGGCAAAAAGTGGGGATTGAGTTTGATTTTGTTGCCAATTTCTTCGTACGATGTGATTTTGGGTATGGATTGGCTGAGTCTGTATGAGGCTCAGATCGACTATTTGAAGAAGCAAGTGAGCTTGCTTATGTCAGGAGAGAGATGTGTATTCTAAGGCTTACGAGGTATTCTCTCTTGTCTGATTTCTGTATTGAAAATGTGAAGAATGTGGAAGAAGGGTTGTTCGGTATTTTTGGCTTCAGTGCGGGATATAAACCTGGATGTGGGTTCTGTTTCTGATATCCCAGTGGTACGAGAGTTTGCTGATATATTTCCTGAGGAGTTGGTTGGTTTACCTTTGGATAGAGATGTGGAGTTATCTATTGATATTTTTCCGGGAACAGCTCCGATATCAAAAGCTCCGTACATGATGGCACCGAAAGAACTTTCTGAGTTGAAAGTTCAGCTTCAAGAGTTGGTGGATAGTGGATTTGTTCGTTCTAGTATTTCTCCTTGGGGAGCACCTATTTTGTTTGTGAAGAAGAAGGACAGAATACTCTGTATGTGTGTTGACTACAAAGATTTGAATAAAGTCACGATCAAGAATAAGTATCCCTTACCACGGATTGATGACTTGTTTGACCAGCTTTCTAGTTCTTCTATGTTTTCGAAGATTGATTTGAGATCTGGATATTATTAGGTGAAGGTAAAGGAAACTGATGTGGTGAAGACAGCTTTCAGTACTCTGTACGGACACTACGAGTTCTTGGTTATGCCTTTTGGGGTAACCAATGCACCTGCTATTTTCATGGATCTCATGAACAGAGTGTTCAGGGAATATTTAGATCAGTTTGTGATCGTCTTCATCGACAATATTTTGGTATATTCTGCTTCCGAGGATGATCATGCCAGACATTTGAGCATTGTGTTGGAGACTCTGAGACGGCATTAGTTGTATGCTAAGTTCTCCAAGTGTGAATTCTGGCTGAAGAGCATCTCATTTCTAGGGCATATGATTAGCGGTGAAGGTATTTCTGTAGATCCCCAGAAGATTCAGGCTGTTGCGGGTTGGCCAAGGCCTACATCGGTATTTGAGGTACGTAGTTTCTTAGGCATGCCTGGATATTACAGGAAGTTTGTGAAAGGATTTTCTCAGATTGCTACGCCTCTGACGAGACTTACTCAGAAGTCAGTAGCTTTTGTTTGGACACCGGAGTATGAGGCTAGTTTTCAGAGATTAAAGGACTCTCTGACTTCAGCTCCAGTGTTAGCACTTCCTGTCACGCCCCAAGTTCTAACTTGGAAAGAATGTTGATCAACCCAGCCATTTACCAGAGTCATCTAGTCTCCAATTAATAACAGTCTATAAAAAAGTCTATAAATTTAAAACATCCATATACAAGTCGATCCATATCTCAAAACATCATATACAATACTCAGGAACCATGCTAAAACCACATATACTGAAATCTATCCTGTCCTGAGTACAAAAGAATCAAAATCATCAAAAGAACTAAAAACTTGTAGATCCTGATCAACTTCTATTCCCCTGCTCCCGAGCCCTGACCTGAAAAGTATCAACCGCATATAATGAGCTTTACAAAGCCCAGCAGGTCACCTACTACCTATAACTGAAATCAAAGCACGGCGATGCTATCAATATGCATGTCAATCAATCAATTTCATATCAGTCAATGGTCAATGAGTCTATGCAATACGGAAATCCATAGTCAATGAAATCAAGTCTATGCAGCGGCGGGCGAATCGATAAAT